TGTCAACACTTAACGAATTTTTCGAAGTCTGGGATCCCTGACAGCCTGACAAGCCGACTTTGATCATGTTTTTACTCAGTTTACTTTGAGAATTGGAACATGATCATTGAACAACATTTGTAACTGGTACTTAGGTCTACAAAGTTGGTTTAGTAACCTAGCGCTAATTCGTCACGGATTGGAAGACAAATCATCACCAAAACTTGTCGTCAGGATCGGTACCGAGGTTAACTGACGAACTGAATCACGGCGTCGTGGCCGACCGCCGTCAGGCCTTGGCCGCCGCGTGGAGGGGAAAACGGCCGCGCGTCGCCTATGCTCTGCCCAGCCAGGCCACGATGTGCCTGGGCGCGCCTGCATCACGCCAGCTACCGCCCGCTCCCTCCCAGCGCTCCCATTTCGCTTCTGGCTTCCTTCTTCACCGTAAGCACAGCAGCGAGCTCCTCCCCGCCTCCACCGTCGCCATTAGAGACGCCAGCTCGCGCCTGGCCACTCCAGCACCACCGCAATAGCTCCATCGTCTCCCCAGCACCCCGTTGCTTCTTCCCATGCCCGCTGACAGCGCTTGGTAAGCCACCGCAACGCATGCAAGCTCGCCGGAGTTCCTCCGTGAGCCACGTCGTCGTGGCCACGCCGCCACAGTCCTCCTCCCGCTCCGGTAGCTAGCGCGCTAGGTCCCCCAGCGTTCATAGTTGCTTGTCCGCACCTTAGGTTGAGCCGCCGAGGTCGTCGCCGGCGTACCGCCGACGTCCAGCCTCGCCGTTCCGCCATGGTCGCCGCCGTCAGCTCTAGAGTCGACGACAAGGCCGGCCAAGTAGCTCAATAGCTTCGCTAGGTCACGTAGATCGTGTAATGAAGATATTACCGCCGGCGGATTCGACGTCGACGAGCTGTGATCGCGCGGGCTTGCTCTGCGCCGCCGGCTCTGCTTTGATCTCACTGACCAGTGGGCCCAACTGACGCGTGGGTCCCTGCTGTCAGCGACTCTAGGTTTTAAGGACAGTTCAAAAATTCCAGATTCAAGTGTGTTTTGTTATTTTTGTATCTTCAGTTTGGTAGCTCCTAAATTTGTGAAATAAATATGGTTGTGTTCCTTAGGAAGTGTAGTATTTAAGAAAAATATGTTCTTGGTTTCAACAGTAGAAATTTCTGGAGATTTAAATAAGGATTTGAAATGTGCTTTTGAATGCATTCAAATTTGTTTAATTTATATCTAGAGTTCCTGTGCTCCAAAAATTATCAAATTTTTGTGGTAAGTTAGTCTTAGCATATCTGAGCTCTGGTAAAAATTTGAGGACCAGTGCATGTGTAGATTTGTAGTTATAGATTTTTCTTTTATGACTAGTTAATCCTTGCATGATTTTTCATAAATTAATTATGAGTCCAAAATTCATGAAATTTGTTGGAGGTAATCCTAGTACCATATGGGTGTTAAGAAAAATAGGAAATCTATTGCTTGACACTTTTCAATAGGATTTTCCATTTATGCTATTTCAAGCCTTGCTGCCTTATCATTTTTGTATAGAATGTTCTACTTAGTAAAATGACCTAAAATTTTTATAGTAGTCCTTTGATAGCATTAGTAAGGTTTTGTAAATTTTTGAGAATTTATGAAGCACATCTGATATATATTTATTATTTAACCTAGATATCTAAATAAAATAATAAAGGCAATTTAATAAATAGTTTGGGCTTCACCATTATATTATATTAATTGTATTTGGTATGCTTAAACTGTTGGTAGATTCCATGTTGTCAAATTTCGAATGATTACATGAAGTAGAAGTATTATTACTTTAGATTGCAAGTTAAATAGTTTCCGTACTGATTCTAGAGTTTGATGAGTTGCATGTTGAAACTGATGTGTACTGTAAAAATGGTTAATAACAAAGTTGTAGAGAATTTGATAAGCTTTCCAGAAAGTCTAGGATCACTGGATTTGGATTTGTAGAACTCCAGTTATGAGTGAAACAAGTAGCTACTGTTTGTGGCATAGTCGATGCATTGTAGAGGTAGTTAAGTAATAAACGAGAAGAGATATGCACCTACTCAATAAACATGATGCACTTGTTAACATATATGCATTCGTAATACTTATGCCATACTCATGCATCTAGGATCGGAGGAAGAGATCACGTTGCTGGAATTGAATAAGCGAGAGAAAGGAACCAAAGGGGAGGATCCGCAAGTCGCAGCTCTCGAAGGCGTGGAGCAGAACCCTGAAGAGCTTCCGGAGTGTCCTGACCACCGCTCTACTTCCTTTCTGCGAGGCAAGCCCCGGAGCATTATAAGTCTCCCAGTAATTTGCAAATGTTTACTTACGTATTTATGATTGATGCATTAGGTTATAAGAGTTGAATGAAACCATTTGATGCATATACATTCCTTGTCCAAATATTACACCTTTAACCGGTATAGGTCCAGGATCGAAAATATATGCTTAGCCATGCTTAGACCGGTAGAAGTCGGGTGATGTCCTGTCACCTGCGAGATATAGGTGGATATCGGAGCGCGGTTGGCTATATCTGCTATCGTGGAATAGAACCATGAGGTAAAAGTAAATTGAGACCGGACGGAAAGTCGATAGAGAAGCAACAAGACATGGAGGTCTTGGGTGTGGACTTATCCCCGTCTGTGTCGATTAAGGACCGTACCGTTGTTGGCGCTTTTGACAAGATTGAACGCATGCCTCTCACTTAGCTGGCCGGATAACTCGTTCCGACCGCGAAGCCGAGTAATTCAACTCAGGCCGAGAACCGTTCTGTTGTGCGCTCCTTCCGGGGAACGATCAGACTGAGCCCAAGGGCAGGTTTGGCCTGAGCATCCTGGCATCTGGTGTTCCAGATTGTGCGGCGCGGTACGGACCCGCGAAATGTGTACCTGAGTTGTACCAAAGGTGACCTAAGACTATCGTGGCTGGTAGATCTGGGTTTGTGTTAGGAATAAATTCCCAGCTAGTTGAAATCGATTCGAATCGCCGTCTCTCCCGGATAGTGAGAAACTTGGCTAGTCCTAACATCGTAGTAACTGTGTTATGGAACATGATGGTTCGGATGAAAATGGAATTTCAATACCTGCTATGCTTACTATTGTATGCTTCTAAAGGATATACCACATGTTTGGCACAGGATAGTTGCTAATCTAGAAATGGATAGTTATAATTAACTTGGTAAAGGAATCATAATTGTACACCGGATCAGTTGCCTTTTTCGCAAAATGTTGTCAAGCTACGTCCACTTATATAGCCTTGCATAATCCTTGGAGTCATTTTATTTTTTGGTTCATGACGGGTAAGTCTAGCTGAGTACCTTCTCGTACTCAGGGTTTATTTTCCCATTGTTGCAGATGGCACTGTGTCATGGTTATTGCAAGAGTTGCTTCTATCCCGCTGTGGATGAGGAGTAAGCCTTGGGCAGGCTTCCTTAGTAATTCCTATCCTTGCTTTTGTGGATCGTGATCCAGCTTGGCACTGTATCAAACTATGTTGGAAACTTTATCTTCGAACTTATTTGCTTCCGCTTTATTTACCAAACTCTGTTTGTAATAACTTTTATTCGTACTCTGATGATGAAAAGTATCTGTGAACTTTATGTAATATGTGGCATGTATGTTGAATCATGTACGATCTTGGTTGTTGTAAATCGTTTATCGAGACCCGTCGTGGTACTCGACGGACTACCGGGTTTATATGGGTTCAAGTATGACAGTGCGACCGCTTGTGGATTGCCATTGTACTTGTATTCTTATAAATTGGTCGGTTCTGCGACATGCGGGCCCTGCGCCCTGGTGGTCAGTGGCGGGAGGCCTGTATTGCCGTGCCGGAGGCAGGCGCCTTGGCGTCCTTGGTCGGCGCCCTTGCTTGATGGGCGGCTCCCTTGCCTGGTGGGCTGGTGCCTCGTCTGTGGGGGAGACATCGAGGAGGAGTCGCGCACGTGCGAAAGGAGGTGTCGAGGGAGTGGGGGAGTCGCGCGGGGTGGGAGGCGGCATCGGGGGCGAGGGGGAGGCAAAAAAAATTCGCACGGACGGGTAGAGCGACGACGCGAAATTTTGTCGCACGGGGGAGGGCAGGACGACGAGGCGAAGTTAAATTGTCGCATCAAAAAATATCCACGCTTTATTCTTTTTAGTTGTATATAGGAGAGTGGGAGATATGGATAGAGATTTTGGTGAAGACTCCAATGTATGTCAGATCTGGAGAGGAGGGCGGGACCAGGGAGCTTGCCTTGGCATCTTGATAAAGGTCTATTTGGTTGGTTGCTAGCTAATTAAAACTTGCTACACCACATTTTAGGCATGTGTGTTTGATTTCACACCATAAGTGCCATTTTCGGACTTTTCTTAACCGATGTGTCTAGCATACAATTGACTAATTTGTTTTGTAAAGTTTTGTTCTAATTTAAACATGTCTACCTTTGATCATTAATTTGAAAAAAAATATAAATGTTAACAGCATAATATTTATGTTTTTAGATTTACTATGACATATAATACAGACATGAATATATCTTATGGATTGGACAATGGAGCAAGAACAGGGATGGAGAGACGGACGCAGGAAGTCCGATCTGTTTGTTTATTTACAAGGGTGTCATTTGGTGAAACCACGGTGTTCTCTGTCTGTTCGCTTCTCTTATAATCCGTACTTTTTAGCTTATTTTTTAACTGGAATAATATTTTTCTCTCATAATAAATCAGACGAAAGTGTATTTCGACTTATTTTTTCAGCGAAGCGAAGCGAACAGAGCCATAGCAGTGGTACTTTACTATCAGAACTCTCCTAGCTAGTACACACACGTGACACGTCGGCCGGTTGGGCGAAGAATTTGTACAGTGGCCATGCACAGATCTGCAGAGAGCTTGTGCTTGCAACTATGAACTATCTATAGCTAGCTCAACTATGAACTATCTATAGCTAGCTAGTATCTGCATCATCTAGCTCTTTCGATCGAGAGAGAGACATAAAGAGAAAACAGGGAGAGAAGGTAACTATCTACAGCTAACTACTCGTCGTCGTAGCTGTCGTAGTCGTCGTCGTCATCGTCATCCATGTCGACCGTGAGCTCAGGGCCAAGATATGGCGCCCCGGCGACGGTGAAACCCTCGGGCAGGTCCGTCTCTTCCAAGACAGCGAAACCCGGGAGAGACGGGACAGGGACGTCGGTGAAGTAAGTCGAGGGGCGTCCGTGGTCCTCCGAGTATGGCGGCGTGAGGACGTCGAGGATGGCGCAGGGCGTGACGGCGGTGAAGGCGTGCAGGTTGCCGCCGCTGCGCGGGAAGAGCACGGACGCCTGGCAGGGCGTGCGGCGCACCACGTCCGCGGCCACCACCCTGGCCAGGCCACATTTCCTCCTCGACGGCGACGGCGAAGGCGCGGCGACCCAGTCGTAGGAGCGCACGCGCACGGAGCCGTACAGCAACTTGCTGAGCACCACCATCTCCGGGTGGTCGTGCAGCGGCAGCGTCGCGCCGGCCGGGAAGCAGAAGACGCCGATCTGAAAGCAGGCAACACGCCGGGACGGGATCAGTATTCAGTACAAGCACAACACAACACAACCCAACCGACCACAAGCTCGATCCGCCGCGGCTAAATAGCAGCCCCTGCTTACCGAGAAATCGTCGCACTGGTGTATGTGCACGTAGGTGATCCTCGTGAACGCCGGCGCCGGCAGGAGGCAGCGGCCGCTCTTGGGGCTCAGCTCGTCGTCGGAGGAGGACGAGGACGACGTCGGCTTCTCCCCGTCGTCGATCCCGACGTCGGCTGCCTCCATGCCATCTGAACCAAAGGAAAACATTTATGAGTCGTGTTCATTCACCAGCCGGCGAACACCAGGACGCATGCAAAAAGAAGAAATGAAGCCGAAGCAAGGCATAGGCACGACAGAAAGTAGTGAACTGACCAAGGATGTTCTGCAGCCATCTGATCTCCCCGAGCGTGGGCGCCGCCGCCGGCGAGGAGAAGACGACGTCGCAGGCGTCGTAGAGCCGCTGCACCTTGCTCAGCGCCATGATGTGCGGCGGGAACGTCACGGCCATGGTGAGTGAGCGAGTGACTTCTTGCAGGTCGTCGTGTCGATGTCGGGTGTCGATCGCGCTCTGGAGTCTGGAATTTGGGGGCTGCAGCTGCACCGCTGGATCGGGCCCGGATTATAAAGCTTTGGCATGGCATCGCGTGCGTACGTGGTGCGCCGTGGGTGGTCTGGATGCACATTCTGGCATTCCGCGACCGCCCAAACCCCAAACGGCCAAACCGTGGGCCTCGCGTGCTTTTCCCAGGGGCCCGGGCAACCCAAGTTTGCGCCGTTCCAGCCAGCCAGGCAACCCAACTGCCCTTCTGTTTCTGACGGACGGCGCTGCCTGCGTACGCTCGCCCCCCTTTTTCCCTTTCCTGACAATAACTTAAATAAAAACAAGTTGCTGCACGGAACTTGTGGCCTGTGTTTGGTCGCTTGGCACCTCGACAGCATCCTTATTGGGGTTCGGGTTTTGTACATGTAGCGGTAGCGCCCACTGGATATTTGATACTGCCTTGTTTTATTCTGTTTCCGGAATGGTTTGATGCCACTAGCCTAGTAGTACCACCTTGTTAGCAAAGTTTTATGCATGTACTTAATCCATTCCAAATTGTAAGACGTTTGACTTTTTTGATATCAAGTTTGACCACTCGTCTTATTCAAAAATTTATGTAAAATATTACTTCTTTCGTTGTGGTTTGGTTTATTAATAAAAATTCTTCAAGAATGACTTAAATTTGACTATATTTGTATAAATTTTTTGAATAAGACGAGTGGTCAAACTTGGGGACCAAAAAAAAAGTCAAACGTCTTACAATTTGGAGTGGAGAGAGTACTACTTAGTAGTATACTAGTATTGCTGACATAAACCAAATCTTACATTGTTATCTCTCTTGTACTGTTTGGGTCGCGCTAATAAGGTACTCCCTCTGTGGTAAAACACACGTCATTTTAGCTTTATCCAGGTTAAATTTCTCTAACTTTTACCAAGTTTATAAAAAAAATGCAGCCAGCCCCATCTACGTGGCTTTATAAAATTCACCATAAAATGTATTTGTTTTTTCTTGAGAAATCATGAAATATATACATGTCATATATAGTAATATATGTAAAAATGAAAAGAATTACATTTTGGAATAGAGAAAATATAGATCAGTGTTGACATTGCTTAAATTAGCAGTAGATAGTGGTGTAACCAGGGGGGCAAGCAGGGGCCCTGCCCCCCCTAAGCACGGTAGATTTTCTTTAATACCCCTACAAATATTTTGAATTTACAGCATAACAAAGTAACTATTCACCCATTTTTTATTAAAATATTGTGATTTTGATTATAAATAGTGTAAAAATATTTAAAAATGTATTGAGACATACACTTTTGTATATTTTATTACATTTAAAGATGTCATCGTATTTTTTCGCCCCCTTAATCAAAATCGCTGGTTCCGTCACTAGCAGTAGAAGATAGAAACCAGGAGCCACTGTATATAAAAAAAAGAGGCCTGAGGACAAGCTATGTATATACATATAATCCACTGCTAATAAGCTGACGCTGGTGACGGCAGTGCGTATGTCCCTTTGCATTTAGTCTAAGTCATGTATATGTATACGGCACGACGAATCCTATCCGCATGCAGAGGCGAAAAGACAAGTTATTCCACGCGCGCGCGCACCGACTCCAATTCCAATCCGACGAACAAAATGCATTCTTGCTTTGCTTGAGACACGGATAGCGTGACAAGAAAAGCATTCCATCCATTGGTCGTTCCTCCCGTCCGCGCTTTTTTTTATTTTCCATGCACGCTGTTAGGTAGTGGTAAGATCAGGGGTGAAAACGGTACGGATATTTTCCGACGTATTCGAGAACGAATCTGTTTAGAGGAGTTCAAATCTGTGTGTATCCGAGTCTGGATATTCAACATCCGATACCATATCCGTATCCGAATAATCAAATCGCATATTTATGATGTCGATATCCAATCATATCCTATCCGTCATAGTTGACAATATCCGTATTCGAATCCGAATCCGAACATAAATATAAAAATAAATATAATATCAGTGATATCCGTTCGTATCTTAGTCCGTTTTCATCCATAGGTAAGATGCAAAACAACCACCGGCCGGCCGGCTAGCTCAACGGAAAAGATCTACCATGCGGCGAAGGAAAAAAATGGCATTTTTGTTGCTGTCACATCAATTCCCCTGTTTGGAACCCCAGTAAGGCCTTGTTTAGTTTACATCAAAATTCCAAGTTTTTTCACTCTCTCTCCATCACATCAATTTTTAGCCGCTTGCATGGAGCATTAAATGTAGGTAAAAAAAATAACTAATTGCACAGTTTAGTTGGAAATCACGAGATGAATCTTTTGAGCTTAGTTGGTCCACAATTGGACAATATTTACCAAATAAGACGAAAACGCTACTATTCATCAGGTTGCAATTTTTTGCAATCTAAACATGGCCTAAAGTCAGTCAGGTGGCTGTGAATTTTTATTTGCATCACCTGGACTAAGGTCGTCTGGTCTCGGTGCGCAGTACGTGCGTGTTCCTGCCGCTGATGTGATGATGACTGTCCGCTTTATTTATTCCATGGTTCTTGCTCCATTCATTTAAAATTGTAAATTTAGTTACTATTTTCTCTTAAATATATAGGCCCCGTTCGCTGGTCTAAAACTTGGCTGAAAAACACTGTTCGGATGAATTGTTGTGAGAGAAAAACATTGTTTGACTGGTTTGATGAACAGTAAACTAAGAGTGGGAGCAGCCGGCTGGCTGATCAAACCAGACCAGCGAACTGCCAGATAGTTTTTATCAATGTATCTAAACATAACATGTCTAGGTACACAAAGTATTCAGCTGGCCATAGGTTATTTCTACTTTCAGAATAAAAATAATAGTATATGTCTAAATATAGTTTATTCATCTGACTTTAAGTTTAACTAAATATATATAAAAACATTAATAATTATGATATATTATCATTACATTGGCCATTCAATATACTTTCAATAATTCTATCTAAAGATATAAATGTTGATAATATTTATATATATATATAGTAAAACTTAAAAAATTAACTTAGTGAGAAGGGAGATGTGTAGTTATTATTTTAAAACAAAGAGAGTAGACTTTTATTGGTTACTGAAGGACACGGAGACGCCTAAGAGGGGAGGGTGAATTAGGCAACTTAAAAAATCTAACTCTGATCTATGACCTCTTTTTCTAACCCTAGCAAAACCTATGTAATAGATAAGCTATCTAGATGTGCAACTATGATTTTGCTAGAATGTTGCTATCTCTACCGCAAACGTAGTAAAGTAATCAATGTAAATGCGGAAGCTAAAGAGCAAGGTAGAGATATGCAAACTCCCGTCGACGACTTCGGTATTTTTACCGAGGTATCGAGAAGCGCGCAAGCTCCCCCCTAATCCTCGTTGGAGCCCCTCGCAAGGGCTAAGCTCCCGGTAGGATAACTTCATGGATAGCCTCGGGCCTTCCCCACGCGCAAGTGGGTCTCCGACGTGCCTTCCGGCAAGCCTCTCCCGGATGCTCCCCGCCGTCTTCACTATCAAGCTTCCGGACAAAACGCCGTGGGCCTTGTTCCCTCCGGTACACGGTGGCGGCCACACCACAAACGCAGTTGGTGTGATCTCACAAGACTTCAAGCCCCTCCGATGTAAAACAATGGTGCTCGCAAGCACCGGGTGGTAAGAGGTATGCAAACCGCACTAAACACTAGGCCTAAACCTAGAGCAAGCGCATGAGCGGTGGTCTAATCAACCTAAGCACTTCGCAAAGCACCTACGCTAATCACCTAATGAATCACTAAGCTCTATGCAAGTGGAGATCACTAAAATGGTGTATCAACATCCTTGGTATGTTTCCTCAGCTCCACTCCCCTCAAATGGACGGTTGGGGGTTGTATTTATAAGCCCCACTGAAAAAGTAGCCGTTGGGGTCGAACTCCCGCAAAACTGCTACTGACCGGACGCTGAATCGTCCTGACCGGACGCGTCCGGTCGTCCCGACCGTTGAACCGGCAAAACACTGATCGGACGCTGTCCAGCGTCCGGTCGCCTGCCACCGGACGCGTCCGGTCGTAGATATGCCGCTCTGGAACCTTACTGTACTCGATCGGACGCTGCGTTCCTGCGTTCGGTCGGTTGCCGCCAGCGTCCGGTCCTCGCGTCCGGTCGCCTGTCTGCCGAGTCTCCACCCAGCATTCGGTCGCAGCGTCCGGTCACTTGTCCAGCGTCCGGTCACCACAGTGAGCTCGTTTCTTCATGATCTTGCACACGGCTTGGTTCTAATCTTCATGCTTGAACTTTACTTTATCTCTTGGGTCTTCTCTTATGCTCCTAAGGTCTTGCTTTAAGGTGTTGATCATCAGATCTTCACGTCGCCTTCGTCCAAGTCACGTCTTGCACCCTATTAGACTACAAAATAAACACTTGCAAATTCATTAGTCCAATTTGGTTGTGTTGGTCATCAAACACCAAAATCTAAAGTAAATGGGCCAATGGTCCATTTTCCTTACAATCTCCCCCTTTTTGGTGATTGATGACAACACGACCAAAGCAAGCAAATAATAAGAATGTGAAATTTAAAAACTATCTACTTGCTAGGATGCAATGCAAAAGAGCAAGGTTATATGATACTAAAAAGATACCAATTGATACCAATTGAAGATACAACTTGTAGGACCAATTGAAAAACTATTTAAAGCTTAACTTGCCCTTGCAAATGTCCCCATGTGGTATTA